ACAAGAAAGCGCGGGTAATGTCTTAAGAGGTCGATTGATTTTAAAACTTAGTGAAGCGACGAAAATAAAATCAATTAAATTGACATTTCAAGGAAGGTCAAAGGTAGTCTGGTTTGGAGGTAATTATTAATAATATATATATTTTAATAATATTTTTAATAAAATATAATATTTCATTATTATTAATATATATATACATTTCATTTCAATATTTAGATTCAGTTTCGCCATTTCAAAGTGATGAAAATATTATATTTCAACATGATTGGGTATTCCTTGAACCAAAAAACTATCACAAACTAGACGCCGGTAATTATCACTGGGATTTCGAGCTTATTCTACCTGGCTCATTACCTGAAACAGTTGAGGGATTTGAAAATGGTTTAATTGAATACAAACTAAAGGCAGTTGCCGAAAGGCATTCTTTTGCTTCTTTTGCTTTAAATTTGAACGCACAACAAAAGATAACACTTCAACGTTGTACGTTCTTAAACTCTGAAGATATCTTAGATACCATAGTATCTAATATATGGAATGAAAGGGTTGCTTATGATCTTTCAGTTGATTCAAAAACCTTTACATTGGGAGACGAAATCTCACTTTTGGTCGATCTTAAGCCTTTGACACAATCAATAAGAATTCATGAATATGTATGCTCACTTCACGAATGCGTTTCTTTCACCGTTGGCTCTAATCCAAGAGCCTCATGCAGAGTTATTAGCACTATAAGAGGCAATAGCCTTCATTGGAATGGAGCATTTTGGTCAGATTTATTAAAAATCACAATACCTCAATCAAAAAATACATGCCTTTATGATACAGAAAATTCAATAATTCAAATAACTCATCAATTAAAAATAAGCATAATTTTTATGGTTTACGAAAATCGACTTGTTGAACTAAGAGCCCAATTACCGATTATAATTACACTGAAAAAGGATGATATGGAATTACCTGCTTATAAGGAATATGATCCTTACCCCATTCATTTATTACATGGAGTTAGAGATCACATTGAAAATATTGAAAATATCGATTTTTCATTACCTTCATATAATAGCATTAATACTGATGCACCCCCTTATATAATGGATCTGACACCCCCTTATATAATGGATCTGACACCACCTCCACCAATCCATGTCGTATGAACATTACCAATATTACCAATTTGTGTATGACATTATA